CCTTAGTGGACGAGGTCAACATAATCAAGGATAAGAACACTCGTGCCTCTAGAGGTTTGCTTGCTTCTCACTTTTGAATCTCTAGCATTCAGTTTATTTTAAGCTAATCGTGGGCAACAATACTTTGATAATGATTATTACTCTAATCCATTCAACTTGTATGAAATGTTTACAAGCTTTCTTCAAGCTTTTTAGTAAGTTGAAAGAACGTCGGGTATGATTTCAAGTTCCCATATCTTTCTTTGGCAGGATCTGATTGCTGTAACAAAAATGCTCTTAGAGATTTTTTAAGAGTACTACTAAATGTTTATTTTTTACAAAATTTGAGGATAATTAATTAAAGGAAAGCACTCATGAAAAGTATCATTACAATTTACAGCTATTAGGTGCATAATAGAGTTACTCCAAGTAAAGAAAAGAAAAAAATTGAGATGTGGACATGCATTCATCCATTAAGGAACATATTAGACATAATTTTTTTTATTGAATGTATGCATGACTGATTTATATCTGTTCTTCATGCAGATGTGCTAAAAGTTAGGCTGCAAATGCAACTTGTTGGTCAAAGGGGTCCTTTGAAGGGAATGGTATTTGACCAAGCTCTTAGTCTACATTTTTTATGAATTGTGACAGTTATCTGGTTTGTTCTGATTTCCTTGTTTTCGAGTTTTATCATTAATGGATGCATACAGGGACAACTGTTTGTTCACATTTTGAAAAATGAAGGACCAAAGTCTATGTATCTGGGATTGACACCTGCATTGACCAGGTCAGTTTTGTATGGAGGTCTCCGCCTAGGCTTGTATGAACCATCAAAGAATGCCAGTCAGTGGGCTTTTGGGTCCACTAATATCTTGGTTAAGATTGCATCTGGAGCATTTGCTGGTGCCATTTCAACAGTTCTGACCAATCCTGCTGAAGTTCTGAAGGTTATACTAGTTTTAAGGTTTTTCAGGTTATTCATTGTATGATTTGATCTAAAAAATCAGTTTTGCTGTCATCAGGTGCGTTTGCAAATGAATTCGGGCTCAAGACAAAGAGGAACGGTTGCAGAACTGCGCAGAATTGTCTCAAAAGAGGGAATAAGTGCTCTTTGGAAGGGGGTTGGGCCTGCAATGGCCAGAGCTGCTGCATTGACATCTTCACAGCTTGCAACATATGATGAATCCAAGCTGGTCAAGTTTCTAACATGCTGTTTTTCACTTTGAATATCTACCCAGTAATTTTCAATGTTTTGGAAGCGAGAATTCAAGTTTAATTCCTTGTCTGTCAGAATGTTATCAAATTTCTTCATTTTCTTTTCCTTTCCATTTTAAAGGTTTCTTTAACTTCTGTGAATGCAGCTTTTGATGAAGTGGACACCTCTTGAAGAAGGATTTTATCTGCATCTTGTGTATGTAGCTGCTCCTTTCTCCCTTCTTCACCCTCCTTATTGTCCAGATGTGCGCTTTATCAACTAAGAAATTCTTAATATTGGTAGATCATGGATGGAATTGAAAATTTAGGATAAAAGATTAAAAATATGGAAAATCAGATAATTTATGTGTCTACATCAGTGTTCAAGTTGCTTTCACGTTTTTTGGATATTAGTTAATAAATATGTAGCATTTAGAACATTACTTTATTTCTAGGAACATAAACCAGTAAAATAAAAACCTAGTCACATTACAATATTATTTGCTAAACCACCATTAGATCATGCAATCAAAGCTTGTTACTGAAAAAAACATTAGCAAAGCTGTTTCGTTGGGTATTGATTTTAAAGCATGTCATGTTCCTCCTATAGACAAATCTGCTTGATTTTTTTTTTTTCTTTAAACAATATGGTTATTATTTAACATATTTGAATTTCCTTCTTGAAGCTCAAGTACAATTGCAGGTATTGTGAGCACCGTTGTAACTGCACCCATGGACATGGTTAAAACCCGTCTTATGTTGCAACGAGAATCAAATGTAGTTGGAAGCTATAAAAATGGACTGCATTGTGCATATCAGGTATCTGACATTGTTACTTCTCTCTTTAGGAAATTGAGAATTCTCCTTCTTTTCTGTGTTTCCTTCCTGCTGGATGTGCGAGTTAAAGACACATTCATCTTTTCTTGGGTCAACCCTTTTCTGGTTTCTTATTTTTAAGATTTTGTATCTCATTTGTTTGATTTCCTAACATCTTTGCAATGCATGGTTCCAGGTTATGCGTACAGAAGGCCCCAGGGGACTATACAAAGGGTGAGATTGTATTTCGGTTCCTAGCCTAATTCTTTCTGATTTGGTGCCTGCCTGCCTGTAGTTTGAATCTCTGGGGATGCTTCCTCCGATGCATTATCCCAGAACTTTTTGCCCCCATCCATGATGTCATTTCATTTGCAAGTTTTTGGATCTTTTCGATTGATATTGCTAAGTTCTGGTTCTCAAGTCATTTTCAAGTTCATTACTACTCAAGTTTTCTGGAGAGAAACATGATTAACTGTTGAACAATAAACATGGACTTGTTAATTTACAAGTTTTAAGATTCTTTCTGCACCTTGTTTTATGTTGTACTAGCATATATCAATTCCATGGCATTGACTTTAAATATATTTGCAGGGGCTTTGCAATTTTTGCAAGATTGGGTCCCCAGACTACCATTACCTTTATACTCTGCGAGAAACTACGCCAGCTTGCAGGATTGAATTCAATCTAACAAAGTATTCATTTCCAGTTACTCATTGTTGCTGCCTCTAAGAGAAAGTTCATTTGAATTCATTCTTTTGGTGTCTGAGAATACCACCCTCATTGTATCACAAGGAACCAAAACTTTTTGGACACCCATCGGAATTGCCATGGCATCATCCATTGTCATATTCATTAAGGTCCATTTATTCACTAGAAATGTTGTAGAATTATTCATGTATGATTTCTGCCCATTTTTTCTTGGGTCTAATTTTGTTTACCATGGAACAAATCCAATGTGGGCTTTAAAACATGTATCAGTTGACAAATTTTCCAATAAAATGTTTGCTTGTCTTTTTTACAGATTATTACAGGAGTAAAGATTTTTCCGCACTAAAAATTGAAGTTCAAATTTCTCTAAGGGGGTGTGTGCTCAAATTTTTCTAAATAGTTTTTGTGTTTTTTTTTTACAAGGGTAATGGTTAAGAAGAAAATGTGAGTTAATTGTTAATTACTGGTTTTTAGACAGTGTAAACATTCTATCTTTTCAAATGAGACGCGCAACTATCAAGTCGTTTTTTAGTGAAATTCACAACAGTGGTGGAGTTCAAAACTTCGACCACTTCACTCAAGCACTTAAGGCTTGGGTCAAACCATTGAGTTATAAGATTGGTTCAATTTTTCTAAATAGTTAGCATCGAAACTTAAACATTATCTAATAAAGTTTTATCTTTGCCGCTCAAAATGATAATAAATTTTTATGTTAAAAAAATTACATTTACGAAAATTAAATCTACAAGAGAAATGTACCTCAAGAACCTGGCCCTTCGGGTCAAGTGGCTCTTGTCATGTTTGTGAGGTTCATATCCCCTCCTGAGGATAATGGTTCGAGCCGATCCCACGTCAAAATGTTAAAAAAAAAAAAAAATGTACCTCAAACTAAATGGACTGAAAAACCAAGTGCTTTTATTAAATTTTATTAGCACATTAAATAGTAAAATATATAATCAAAAATAACTCTTTCTATCTATTTTAAAATTGAAGAGATAGTGTGGACCGTACTCGTAGACAGATGAGACAGTTAGGCTGCCAAATCCTGAATTGTGCACGTCATGCTGTTCGCGTGCCCCGCTCTTCTTTTTCGAATAATTTAAAATTTCTTCTTTATGTTTTTTTAATAAGATAAATACTAAATTTAATCTTAATTTTTATCATAAATATTATTTTTTATCAGAATAATTATT